CGGGGGGGGGGGGTGGGGTGGGGTGTTTTATACCTTTCAGCTCAGAACCTTGTGTGTGTGTAGTTCCTTCTTTTTCATTCCGTATGAAAGATATTGCTTAACGCCGTGGACGAGCGGCAACTTCTTTGCCATATAGGTCTGACAGGTAGTCTAACAGCGCGGGCGCTTTTCAAATATCTGGAGAGTAGCGAAACCATAGACTTTTCCTCATTACTGTCAAGGCGAGATTGCAGACACACTGTATCAGTTAGAAAACGGTTTAACATTTCGAGCACTAACCCAGTGGTTAATAACCTGTTCTGTTTGTATATTACAGGTGCGAAAAAGTTATCTCATTCTTTGTGAAGAACGTTAACCGAGGGTGTTTGAGAACAAAGTGCTGTGGATAATACTTGAAATATAAGGAGGGTTGAGAGAATTACATAACAAAGAACTTCATAATCCGTACTATTCATCTAACATTAGTAACCAATTCCAAGGAACATGGTCCTTGAGAGTCTATAAGTCACTCAAGTAGGCAAGAATTCCCGCCTTCACAGAACAAGAAGGTTCAATACAGTGTTCATAAGAGCCCTAATATCATTAGGATAAAAATAAATCAAGGCAAATGAGATGGGTGTGCCATGAGAAAATCCTAAACCTTTTGAACGTATAACCTCTAGAAAAGAGATCAATTAGAGAGATGGCAGGATGGTATTAGAATTAAGCTCAGAGAAACATGGCAGAATAATGTGGAGAAGATTCAACTGGCTCTGGATACAGTTAATGGTGAGCTCTTGCATACATGGCAATGAACTAGGTGAGATTTCACGTTCTCACGGAGGCGAGAATACAGATAAATGTCTTCAGAGATGTTGCGCCGTGCAATACCGCATAAATTTTCCGACGTTTCAGAGATGCTTGCTGTCACCATAATCAGAACGATGAGTGACTAATCACCCTAATAATGCAGGAAGTAAGCACCTCTTAAACGCCGGTCAATTTCAACACGGGGCAACATCCAAGAAGACTGTCTGTCATCTTCATACGACAGTAAACCTTTGGGTTCCATAAAAATTAATTTCTCTACAGAATTAACAGTCAACCTTTCATGTAGTTAGGCAGGCTTATGTTCTAAATGCGATTGACGAGGCCAGTTCCAGCGCAATTTATCTCGTTCGTAGCATGACAAGTTTTAAGAGGCCCAGGATTTGGATGGATGGAAGGAAGTCACACATGGGGACTGCGGAGAATTGTGGGCCCCAGTCTCTCATACCTCATCGAGTTCTTGCGTTTCCGTGTCAGCTCTCTGGTGTTTTCAGCGGGGTGCTGCAGTTCCATGGTCGCACCGCTAGATGGGGTCGGAGTCGGACCGCCTCCGAGGTACATGGATGTGGAACAGGAACTTCTACAACACAAGAAATAATATATTTATTTCAAAAGGCAACTTAATACTACGTTCTTATACTCGGATTACTAAACGACGTTTTCAGTACTTCAGATTACACAGCGCCGAATGAAAGGACGATTAGTAAATAATGAGTTGTAAAGGAGTGGACGTGATCGTGGCTAATTCAAGGTAGTATCGCGAAATCCGCCTGTTACTGAGAATACTCACTACAAATCTTCGTCAAGACAGCCGGTCTCTGTAATGATATTTAAACCCGGTACTCCCAGAATAGGAAGCAGGAGTGCCAACCACTCGACTGCTACGTTAAACGCAGTGAAGAGTTTCAAAATTGCCTGATAAATTAAGAACAAAGAGAAGAACCGACATGTAGTACGCATGGGGATAAGAAATGCATACAACAATCTGGTTCAAAAATCTCAAGAGAAGAGACCACCTGTATTTGGAAGGATATTATTAAAATAATCTTAAAGAAGCATTGTGTAATGGTGTCGAATGATTCATCTGACTCCCGATAGTTTTCAGTTTCGGGCTTCTGCAACAAATCTTCGGTTATCATAAGAATATGAAATTCTTTGACCGGTTACTCAACAGAACCAAGTATCATGACGTTAGTTGATTATGTCAGCAGCTAAAAGGCAACAATGATTTCATTAACATAAACCAGAATCACACATGTTTCTTACACGCAAAAGAAGTTTTGTGTTTTTCTGCCATTAGAGCATGTAAGAACTACATGGCGTTCATACGTGAAGTCAGCTACTTTTTAAAGCCAATTATTACTAAAACAGACCAACCACCTTCCAATTTCCAATCCGGTGATGTTGATCTTCCGGGTTGAGACGCCGTGTGGACTCTTAGTGGATACCAACGCACGGTCAAAACCCAGAAGAACAATATCTTCATCTTCAACGCCGTGGGAGCTCCAAATCGTATTAAATCGTTTTCATATATAAACGGACGCTATATAACCTCTGATGTTACTCGGAAAATGCCGACGGTCGGTACATGCAGACGCTGCGCGTTTCAAACTCATAGTGTTGCAGTGAAAGGCGTGTGCAACCGAAGCTGCATTGTGCATCATTGCAACACGACTTATACTGTAACTTATCAAAGCGCATAACTTAAAACACCACAAACGAGACTCCGAGAGTGGCGATAATCATTTATCAACAAAATCAACAACAGACATTTTCCTAAGTTTATTTCACTTGCCTTCTCCGTAATAATTCAGAACAAAGGAAATCAAAAACACAACATTGAAATCTTGTACAACAGAAATTATTTTCAAAAACTTTGAACATGTACGGACTACATAGATTTTTCTTTATAATACCAACAAAACAGCGAAGGCCAAGTTTTCATATAGAGAGCAGAAAGTATTCATTATTAAAACTCACACAAGCCAAGATAAGCTGTTTTGAGATTCTTACAATTAGTTAATTAAAATTCAGTCAATACTAACCTCCGAAATGTTGGTCACTAGCTACAAATCCACACGGCGTTACAACCCAGAAGACCAATATCGAAGTGTTAAAATGATCATGAATAGTGATATGATTAGGATTTGGAAGGAGGCGGGCATGTTCAGCTTGAAGGTACGATTCCGGTGTGGTATTAATAGGCAGAGACTCAGAAGACAACGAGAATTTTCATTTAGATTAGACTACAGCTCGCGATTACAAGTGTAGAGCGTTAGTGTTACTGTAACACCGTTACACTAACATGGTCGGTGAGGCTTAAACCAATCACTGCATCTGTGTAGGTGCGGCGTCCTGTGGCCTGTCCACGTGGAGGTCACGGTGACCCTGTAAAGGAGTCACGTTCGAAACTTACGGCGACCTCCGTCTGCATGGATAAAACATGACATCATAATACATTATACACAAAGCCTCTCGTTCATTAGGAATATTCCACAAACACACTTCAGGTGAAAATGTACTTTCTTATCATAATTCTGTAAGCATACTTCGTATGTAAGCGTGACGCTTCATTAGAAATAACACGACTGAAAATATTGTAAATAAATGCGTTAATATCTTTGATACTAGTTTTCACCAAAGAAATCTTTAACCAGATGACTCCATGGAGAAGAATTCTCCTTGAGAAGCTAACAGTACTATCAGCTAGTCAAGGAATTCTCTGAAATTTATTCATTATTCATTGCCGTGTTCACAAGATCTCACCACCAGTCACTATGCCGAGGTAGACAAATCTAATCCGAACATCCTCCAAGCATATTTCCCCATGATACATTTCAATATTATCCTCCCATCTGCACCAAGAACAAAGATCAAGTGGTCTTTTCCACCTAGGGTTTCAAACCAAAATGGTATTTCTCATCTTCCCACGTGTACTACATGCCCTGTCGTTCTCATCCTCCTCAATTTGAATACCGTTAATTATTTCTGGCGAAATTCCTCATTGTGTAACAATCTTTTGTCATTATAATTCCATGGAAATCACTGTTAAAAATTCACAAATTAATTTAAACGTTCAGAGATGGCAAGCGTGTTTTTCGTATACCAAGTAAATCCAGGTTCTAACTGAGAAATCTCGTGATTAGTGAGTGTGGGCAAGTGACCACGTCTTTTTACAAAACAACGCTAGTGCCTTAGTGTAGAAGACAACGATGTGAAAATAAACGGGGATCTATGAATCTGGAAAGGTCAAACTCGAGAGTACAATTACAGCAAACGCAGAGTCCAAGCTGCATAAATCAGTCTTGAACATTTAGGTCGTGGCCACCATGGAAGGACTGCCACTTCTATTCCGAAACAATATCGAATAGAACGGAACTCAGACGGGTTTCTCAACCTTTCCCATGTGGCAGTGAAACTTCTTTGTGCGTTCACAATGTAAAATTATTTGTATTACGCGTTTCAGTTGAAGGGAAGAGGCCACTCGGAAGACTAAGGTGGACACGGAAGGATAATATTAAAATGGATATTGCGGACATAAGGCTTGGGATATGGATTGGATTCATCTGGCTTGTGGCAGGGACCGGTGGCCGAATGTTGTGAAGATGGTGATGAACCTTCCTGTTCCATGAAACGCAGCGAATTTCTTGACTAGCCGAGCATACGATTAGCTTTTCAAGGGCTCTGCTACATGGAGTTACTTGTTTACGAATGACAGTTCTTTGAAACATTCACGAGATTATAAGTTTCCATAGCGTCACGTGAGATCAAGAGATCGGGATATGATCGTTAATGGCCGTCAACTAAGGTTCTAAGGTACTATAGCGACAGTCGCTTCTAATGACTGAGAAATCACGAACCCCCTTCAGTGAGGGCAGATGTATAGTATTATCGAATCCAATTTTGTGGAATGTGTTAAAGGTACCACCCCAACATTTGCTTGGACGGACTGGTTCAAGCAAAACTTTCCCGAGATTCTAGTCTGGTACCTCCCGAATACAAAGCTCAGAGCATGCCCACCACACATCCTCGGTCATATACAGTTGAGAAAACCTCGTCATATAAAGTAATAATCTCTGGGTCAAGACGAAGGTACAGCGATACAGTAAGGAATGTTTCCTAGTCATTGAGGGTTGTCTTGTATCTTGGTGGTGTTAAAGAACTAGTATGAAAACCCCAGCCGAAATAGCAGAAAGTTATACTTTACTCAAAACAATAATTATATGGTTTGAAATAAGTAATCTAAATTCCAAGAAAACAATTTTATAAGTCATTTCACACTCATTAAATTTCTGTCAACAACTTGATGAAAATAATAACAGGAGAACTGTATGGTGACGGAGATTTCAACGGGTGGGCAAGCGACAAACTTCATGAGGTGGTCAGGAAGTTGGAGGAACTCCATATCTCGCTATCAGAAATTATAATTTATAGGAGAAAACAGAGTGTCTAAATGCGTTATTTGCTATTTTACATATCTCATTGACTCTTATACTATTTTATTGCAGATATGTATTCATAAAACCAACCACATTCCTTGTGGATCTTAATAAGATTTGTGTTATAAAAAATGTTAGTAAGACGACACGTTTTCAAGAAGACATGTTACGGTTAAAAGCAACAGATAAACAATTAAATTAGGACCGCAGCTTTTAATACAGACATCCGGAATACTAAATTTAATCGAAATCAGTTTTCTAACTTCAAAGATAAAACAGGTAGGCGGACAGATACAACTTCCTCGTTGTGTATATTTCGTTCAAATAACACAAAAATAACATGCTCTTCAGAGAAAAAAAATTTCAGTGATTTTCTAGGAACACGTGCCAATACTGACCAACTGACGAACTGTCTTGGATCGACTATTGGATTGAAGGCTACAATGGCATAACAAGTCGGAAACCTTCATTTCTAAGCTAAAATCTCATCAGTGTGGATGAGCTATGGCAACAAAGTAACTGACGAGAACTCCGGTGAGACGGACCAAGAGTGTTTCTATCAAAAAGTAACAGTGTGTGTTGATACTCACTCGGGAATTGAGGAAAGATCATAGTAGACGGCCCCCTCATGCTGCTGGATGGACTGTGTAGCCACAGGGTGAGGTCTGAGTTCATCCAATGTCAGAATGTCGCAGTGGTCTTCAATATCATCCCTACCAATGTGCCCACTTCCAATCTGCAAAAGTCTAGGATAGGGTGACAGATCTGGCATACCGTAATTCCTTGTCACCATTGTTCACGGCAGGGTTGGTTGCTAATGACCTGTTATTTGTAGCCGGCTTTATACATAGTTATCTCCACTTTAAATAACGTTCCTGACGGAGGTGGTGTTCCTTCCTGACAGTGATACAGTATCACGAAGCTTAACTTCACACTTTGTCAAAACGTTGGTGTTCAAAAACAATTAAAAATCCCAAAAAAAGGCGTGTCGTCCTACATCTCGCAGCAAGGAGCACACTTTCAAACATGACACAATTTGTAATAACTTCAAAAAATAAATACACATAACGCGTATTCATTGATCAGGAACTGTATTACTGACAATTTCTTGTAAGGGATGGTGTTTCAATCAGAAAAGCGCCTGTATCTTAATGACACGAGAATTTCGTCAAGACGTCTGTGCATTCAGACAAAAATGATTGTATCTGAGCGACGGATGTCCCATCACTCAAATAAGTGACTGCACCCCTATATTACGAATTGAAGTCCTTCCACTCAGACATCTTATGTGTCACTTACTGAAATATGTGACTGTATTCTAGAGACGGACGTCCCTTCACGCAACAAATTACTGCACCTTAATGACAAATCTCTTCAAACAAGTGACTGCAGACATACATTAGACACACAAGTCGCTATCTCAGCAGACGTCACTTCACTGAGACACGAGGCTGTATCTTAGCGACGAGCGTCCATGCACTCGGATAAATGGTTGGATCTTAGCAAATATCCCTTCACTCAACGGACTGGTATTTTATTGCGGTCTTCTGGGTTGTGACGCTACGCAGTCTCCTTTCCGGGCTGCCAACGTTTCGGAGGAACCTAGCGCATCAGTTTTCTGAGCACCCTGTTCTTCCATCTTCTACCCTGATGAATAAGAGAGGAAGATCCTTCGAAATGTTGCTAACCATCTACAAGAACACACAACGTCATAACCCAGATGATCACACTCCAAATTTTCATCTCCTTGAAAGTCTCAGTTCTCACAAGTGACTATCTGAAGACATTACTTCACTCAGATAAGTATTTGTATCTCAGCAACGGTTTAGAAGAAGTACTTTTACACAATTCATAAGCATTCGAATAGTGCAGTTAAATGAATACAACGATGGATCAAAATAAGTCGAAATCTATTATTAATGTTCGTGGATGACAGTCTTCACGTTCTACTAATAATGTGTTAATAGTCCACGATCATTCTGACTTTAAAGTCTAAATCACTTCATGAAGCTATGATACAAGAATTACGTAACACTGCGTATGGTTACAAAATAAACACCTAGAGTCTATTAACGGGCTGTCAGTTGACAACTTCGGGGACTTCTTGCAACGGGACAACAAAAATGATAACGCTGTTTGGTCACTAAATAAACTGACTAACGCGGGAACAAAGGAGCCCTCAGTAACTTTTTAATATGCCGCGAACATCGTATAGTAAAGTCGTGCCTCATATCTACTCTTTTGTCATAAACGGGGACCTGAATGAATGTGCAATCCCAGTTCATTCTTAAATAAAACAAATACCGGTATATTAAAATATGAACTCCTGAATTAATTTATCAATAAAGACTGCAACACATTGAAAGTAGAACAACCGTAAACAAATCTGGAACAAAATCAGAGGATAAAAAGTTATTTTTCAATAATTTACTGAAGATCTGTGATAATGAATGCGATTATGATGGAGATAGAAAAGTTTTGACGTATATTTAATATAATTACCAGGACGTTTCAGCAACTGGCTCTACTCTTGTCATCAAGTGACTGGTTATCATTACATCGACGCATTTATAATGTTGGTCTCTTGTGTGTTGTTAGTAGCGGTGGGGACTGGGGGTGACCCCGGCACGTAAGCACAAAACATTCATATTCAAGTGTTCAGTTTTATGAAACTGTTGTTTTTAAAACGGGCATAATCGACGCGTGTTTAATAGAAAGGATGATTAACATGTTATTAAACGTATGAGAATGCCTACATAAATTCTATGTGGGACATAACTGTAAAGCCATCTGAAGATAATATAAATTCACTCTTGGGGATGTTTAAACCTTTTGGAAACGGAAAAACTTTATAAAAGGAAAAGTTGTGGGCTATCTGAATTACAATTCCTTCCTTTAAACATGTAAAGTAAAACTTATTTCAGATTGACGACGGAAATAGGTAGTTTGTGGCGCTGGCATAGGAACGCGTAAGCCTAATCAAAAATCAAACAGTATTTTACTTAAGTCCCTACTGGTATCCCGTGTCCATCACAGCCAGCAGAAAGCCGTCTGATGACTGACAGGATGTCCCACGTAACTCGGAACCCATCTACCAGCATGCGACGGCAATGTTCCCCGTTATGACAAACTAATTTCTCGGCAGTTCGCTCGCAACTGCTGCGGCACGCACGTTAAGTGGGACACCTGTATTCGAATGTAAAATACAGTATATACACGTTTAATGCGTGCTTTGCGATCTTGTATGGACTCACTGACTTTCATGTTAATTTATTATAGATATACATAATGTAACATGAGATGTAAATCTATAGTAAAGTTGGCCACACTACATAAACCACACTGCATGCTCGTATTTATCTTTGTACTACTTCGTGAAATATATACCGTATCGAAAATTTGTTTCAAATACAAGTTACAGATCTTAATGAAATCTCCATTATATGCCACGCATCAGTCTCTTGATCGTTAAGCTGTTTTAAAAAACACAATTGGATTTCAATTTCAAGCTATGTAAGACAAAACCAAAACTGAGATCGCCTCAACTTTTTGTAACAACAAAATTAGTCGAAATTCGGTCAGTAAATACGGAAATGAAGAATGCGGACGAACAGAAACTACGTCACCATCATAGGTTAATTTCTGCAAGACGCTTGTCATTCCCACGGCCAAGTTGGAGCCAGAGAAGATGCATTTAAGTCAGCCCTTTTTGACACTACTCGGCGCGTACCACTACCATTAATACATCAGTCTCCTTACGAGATACAGTACGGTCGATCCCGCCTACGATTACCACTGCCGCCGAAGAGACGTCGCGTTACCTCGACAGCGGCACTCAAGAATTGTCACTGTCATCGGCCCGTCACGCTGCTGGTGTCCCTAGCACGGCGCACATCCGTCGCGCACACGCACACCACGCGGTGTCGGCCCTGCGTTGGTTGCACCCTCCTACCCCGCTGTTATACATATCATTCTCGAAGTTACAACAAAATTAAACAACTGCATTTCATTCCCTCATGTGCCATCAAGTGTTTCCACGAATTGTACAAAGAGATAGAATAATAACAATAATAATAATAATAATAATAATAGTTTCATCTGGCCTGCAAGCATCCGAGTTATGACGACAACACGCCTGAAGTTTTTGGCTGCTTGTGGACCAATTAAACAATTCATAATAATAATAATACTAATAATACCGACTGACAGAAATGTAATTAAGAAGGAAGCAGAGAAGATCTTGAAATACAAGGATTTTCTCATAGAAATACAAAGAATGTGGAAAGTTCAAGCAAAAATAATCCCAATAGTTATAGGAGCGACAGGAACTGTCTCCAGGTCACTCAGGAAATATTTGGCCAACATCCCGGGGGAACACGACGTCAGGGAACTGCAGAAGACCGCCAATTTGGGAACTTCACACATCATTCGGAAGACTCTTTCATAAAATAAAATATTATAATACATGTAATACATATTAAAAACAAAATGTATCCCGGAAATAGCTGCTGCCCTATGTACCTTAGGGACAAGGTCTGTCTCGGGTACATAGAAGTACATACCCCATAAAGTGGTGAAGAGATGGGATAATAATAATAATAATGTCTGTCCGTCCACACATTTCATCTGATAAGCTATTCAGAAGATTTCTATTAAATGTGGTTAGAGATCTACCCCAAAATTGGGAACCTTCTTCTGGGGTAATTCGGCTGGGGCGTGAAGCAGACAAAATACCTCCTAGGGACGAGTTTAAGAATGCGTGGAGCGATACCTTCGTTCCCTCATGCGTCTGCATGGGGTCAAAGTAAGAGACTGCGTTTATAACCACAGTTTCGTTCTTTCTTTCTTATTTGAAACCGAAGGTTTGGACCAAGAAGCATTGCACTCTATTCGTGGCCAGTCTATGAAGCCTGATGTTCACCAAGGCCGTCTGAAATACAAGCACTGGATTCCGTTATAAACTACGAAGGTCTTATTAAATTGCCCTTTTAATGAACGTACACAATCACTGTACCACTACACCACGATCTCTTTTAAACCCATTATTAAATCAGAGAATTAAGCGGAATTTCAACGAAAGACCTTAGCGTCCATCGCATGTATGCAGCGGTTACTCCCAGGACATATTCAACCATGATTTTGTGTACTGTAATTACAGTTACTGAGTGTAAAGTATGAGAGGCAGCTGCTGAGAGAACTTCGATTTCACAGCTTCAGAGAGGACTATTTTCCATTTTAATATATATAATATGCAATCTCTACTCAGCTCTTACCTTGAAACACGCTGCAGTCAACTTTGAATTCCTAATGATGGAAATTTAAATCAAAACAAGACGTCCTAGGAAGAAATTATAAAACCTAATTTCTTTCAAATGCTTCTATCTGTAGGACAGGGGAAAAATATAAATTAGTAATTTGGTCGTGTAGACTTATTACCTTCATATCAATAATTTCCGCATACAACAGATTTGCATTTGCCTCAAAGTTGTAGATTTAATTCAGAACAGGGCGCTGAGAATGCCATGACCCAAGTTAGAGGTGAACACAGCAATTAACTGCAATGATGACCTATTTCAGGCTCTATTTATGTCTTGTATATCAAAATGAGAGGGCCTATTTGGCTGTTGACGTCTCGAAAATTCATAGACATCTGAGATTAAAACTTTGACAACGAATGGACCTAAGAAAATTACCCAGAGCAGGATGCTAGTAGAATGGTATAAGCAAGTCCAATTATATTATGAGTAGACCAAAACAACTGATCTTACAAAGCAACATTCCTTAAGCTCTTCCGTCTGTCAGGCAACTATTTTTGCACCAATGTCTTGTGGCCAGTACGAAGTCATAATCCCCAACCCCATGCTTTCCTAGGGCTTCATAATTCCCCTAGACGCCAACGTGGCAATGTCAGAACCAGGCACTTACTTCCGCGATGTAGACACCACGTAAGTCATAGCGAAATAACAACTACCTGAACAGAACAGATGCCCTTTTATTTACTATTATTGCCTTATATGACAGTGTTAGGCTTCAAGGAAACGCAACTCTTTCAATGCCTATTTTTACTGAAATCCATTCAGCACTTTCGGAGAAGAAATATGCTGGCAGACAGATGACGGACATTAATGACACTGACATGCAGCAACGAGCTACAGGAAGCTAAACAGATTTTTCTTTCCGCATTTACAAACTCTCGGACGCCTGTCTGAGCAGGTTAATGCAGCGGAAACGCTATAAACTGTATTCCAGATATACCAGCCAGGATACCGGCTATTCAGAGATTTCCGCGATTCTTTTCAGTCTTCCATTGCGAGTACGAGGACATTACCGTTCTTCGCCACGGCCTCCTTCCAAATCCGTAACTAAAGAAAATTTATCAGAATTTGTTAATGCCATTCGAGCCTATTACCTCTACACCTAAACCATCGGCATTAAACAATCTCATAATGATCGGGATAGTAGCTTTAAGGCAGTGTCGGTGGTGTATACGTCGTGGCAGTTTTCAAATTATATGTCTTGCTCTAGGCAAGAGAAAGCTGCTTCGTTGAAAGGACCCGCCCAGGTTGCACAGTAGTGGTGTAATTTAGTATCCTATTATGATTTATTAAGCATCTAGGCTTATATCAAATTATCTTCACGAAGGTCAC